TACTTTACCAGAAACTGAGTTTCTTTTTTTTTTTTAGGCAGGAATAAAAGAGACAACATAGAGGAAAACATAAAGCTGTCCCACTTGTCCAGGAACATTTTAGTTGCATTAAATCCTAAGACAAACAATGATTACTTCACATTTGGTACTTGGAGCACTACATCTGTTGGGCCGAATTGCCATTTCAAGTGTTTTCATCTTCACCATCATCTTAAGTCCTCAGTCTGTAGACCTTGCCCTCCTTTTTAAAGTCGTCCCCACATTTCTCCAGCACTCTTTTTCGGACTGGTTCCCTTTTCTCAGAGTTGCTAGATGATGCAGAGTTTGAGGGTTCCGATGACGCCACTCTCACAGAAGTCTGGACAGCAGTAGGAGGGGTACTAAATAGGAAGTTGCTAATCAATCTCCAGATGGCAAGGAATGGGTAAAGTACTGTCCCCAACAACGTCCAAATGTCTCCACTAGAAGAGTGTACCATGGATGTAGTTGGTCTTCCTGCTGGCAACAGCACCACTGAAGCACTTGGGGCAAGTTCCAAGTCCAGTAATTTTTTTTTTTTTTAATAATCGTCTTTGGTAAATTCTCTCCTGGGAAACATGGTTGCTAACGAAAATTTACCATAAGTGTTGCCAACAGTTTGTGCAGCAAACTGGCTTGCTTCTTCCAGAGGAGCATCAGAAGGAAACTGGCTTGTGAAGGAAGAACCATCAGGAAGCCGGAACTGAAATCTAGCAATTGCATTCCTTTCTCTTGCATAAGATTCCCTCTTAGCATCCATTTCTGCCTGTTTGGCCAGCAAGGCAGCTGCTTTGGCGCCTTCTACTTCTTCCTTTGTCTTTGCAAAACGAGCAGCTCTCTCTGCACGATCCAGTGCAATCTGCTGTTTTATACGCTCTTGAGCAGCCCTATCTTCTGCTTTTTCTCTGTTTCTTTCCTCTAACATTCTTTTTGTTAATTCTTCTTCTTGCTTTCTCCTATAATCCAACATTTCTTTTCCAGTTTTTCTTCTCTCAATCTCCTTTTTAATCTCCCTCTGCTCTTCCTCTTTCCTTTTCTCTCCTTCTAGTTTTTTTGTTAGTCTTTCTACTCTAACGGTGAGGTCCTCTGCAGGCCTTGGACTTGAGCACCCCCCAGGCTCAGGATAAGCAGTGGCGTGATCTGAACTTTCTCCTCCTGTTGCAATATCTGACTTTGCATCAGGAGGGGTGGGTGGGGTCTCACATAATGTGGAATTTCTGGACTGAGAGTTTTCAGAAGTGGTGTTAGTTTCAAAAAAAAAAAAAAAAAAAAGAAGTGGTGTTAGTTTCAAATGAAGTGGATGGAGTAGAAACTGAACTTTCTGACTGGCTCCCATTTGCAAATGATGTCTCAACTTTTAGTAAATGCATCTGCTGAACTTTGTGAATTCTAGTAACAAGTTCATCGGCAGAAACACTTCCTGCTATTACTTCCAAGGGAATTCCACTGTCTCCAATAAAGAAACTAGATGGGACACATACTACAGGACAGATTTGTGAAAATTGTAGGCAGGCTTCACTTTTGGTATCAATTTTAATAGCAACGAAACTGAGGATGCTCCTGTCACTTTCTCATCCTCCCAACTTGCAGCCATCTGTGTAGACTGTTCATCATTACCTGCCACAAACACCACGAAGAGCGAACGCTCCTCTTGGCCAACGCGATGGCGGCTGGAATGGAGCCCTGGAACCACAGCTTCGTTCCCCTCGGGCCCAGGCGCTCACTCGGGTGTCCTCGTAGTGGTCCAGGCGCTGGCCCCG